ATTCTAGAGCCTTCATCCAGTAGCTGATGGAAGCAGAAGCAGAGATCCTCAGCTAAGCACTGAGCTGAACTTCTGGAATCCAATTGGAGAGAGTGGGAAGTGATGAGCAAAGGGGTCAAGAGCATGCTGGGAAAACCCACAGAAACAGCTGACCTGAGCAAGTGGGAGCTCACGAACCCTAACCAGACGTCTGGGGAGCCAGCATTGGATTTAACCAGGAGCCCTGAACATGGGTGACAGTTAGGAGGCCTGGAAAGTCTATAGGGTCTCTGGTGGTGAAACTAGTATTTATTCCTAGTGTAGAGTTGGACTTTGGGAGCCCACTCCCCCATGAAAGGACACTCTCTCAGCCTAGATACACCAGGGAGGGCCTAGGCCTTGCCCCAAATGATGTGACAGACTTTGATGTTCCCCCCCTGGAAGGCCTCACTCTCCATGGGGAGAGGATGGGGTCTGGGATGTGGGGGGGGACTTCTGTGGGCATGGGAAGATGAGAGGGAGAAGGAACTGCGATTGACATGTAAAATAAGTAACAAAAAAATTAAAAACCACAACTATTTTCTCAATGTTCACCTCAAATGAAATTACAGGACAGGAGTCATTTTGATTAATAAAATACTGGGTTTCTCTTGAGTACTAGAATTAAAGACTTTCGCCACCAATGCCCAGCTACGTTAAGGGATTTTAGTATTTATTTTTGTTTTGAAACCGGGTCTCATGTATTCCAGGCTGCAACATGATTTGCTATGGAGCCTGAAGATGAACTTGAACCTCTGGGCCTCTGGCCTCTTTCTTCCAGAGCTCAGATTAAAGAAGTGTGGCACCGTGCCCAGTTTATGCCCTGCTGGGAACTGAAATCCAGCAGCTATGGTGCGAAAAAAACTCCCCCCCAGTTCCCTGCCTAGGATATTACATCACTTATGAACAAACTGTATCTTCAGGCCTCTAACTTCCAACATAACTTTAGCCACTTAAAACTGCAGTTTTCTTTTTCTACATCTCTCAGAGTTAGACAAATAATTCAGGTTGTTTTCCAGGTTTCCATGTTTGTAAAAGTAAATTTACTTATTTGAACAAAGAGGATGAGATTTTTTTTTAAATATGATACTTGACTCCTTGAATTAAGGAAGAAGGGATGGGGACACATCTAAGTTAGTAATCACACAAGGGGCCTTAATTCTCCGCAGCACAGACTCCCAAGTGGTAGCATACATCTAGAATCCCAAATCTCAAGGTGAGAACAAGTGAAACAGAATTTCAAGGTCATTCTTGGGTATACACAGTTCAAGGCCAACCTGAGCTACATGATACTCTGTCTTGAATAACAAACATATAAAATTTAAAAAATAGAGCATTTTAGTAGCTATTTGTCATTAATGAAATCACTATGAAGTTATGGCATCATTTGCTGTAAAATTCTAGACAGTAACAGAAAAGGGATTTATGAGTCCAACATTCATTCTGTGTTCAAAATATACAGCTTCTTTCAAACATTAAATGCAGTTTCACTCCTATATCCTATGTTAATTGAAAGCTTTTCTCTCTCTCTAGCTCTCTGCCTGAGTTATGTACAGGTCATAATGATATGTTTGCTGAGAAAAAAAAAAGTTTCACAAAACTCAAAGCAGTAACTAAGTAGCAGCTAAGCATGTTTATCTATATTGACAATGTGAAGAGTAACTAACACAACCCTCTCCAAAAGTCAAAGTGGCACTACCAAAAATTAGAATAAAGAAGCTTTTCTGGTACAGTGTTTGTACTTTAAGGACTGGCTTGTGCTTTTAGGCTAGAATGTTTAAGTGTATACACTGAACATTGGATGTAAGTATTTGATCCTGAAGTTAAAAATCATTTTCCACTGCCTACTCTGTTCTGACAAGTCTCACCCACTCTGGGACACAGTCCCAGGTGGTGAAGTCAAACACAAAGGGGTCAGCCTGGCTGGTCTCCACTCCACATGTTCACCTCACAGCACATTTCGCCCTTGTGGTGACTGTGCTGGTCACAGCTGACCATTTCTGAAACCCTCAAGTTTTTTCTCTATCCTGAGAAACATCTCTAAAGGTTGTTGCATCATTATACATCTATCATCACTGTATCCTCCCCTGTAAACCCACATACGAGAAGTTTACCTTCAACTGTCTTGTTTACTTGCTAAGTACGTATACTTCCCCAAATAGCACATGAAATAAAATGTATTACTGTTGTTTTTCCAAGTCCTGTGATTATAGACATGTGGCACTAGGTTCGGCTTCTTCACTGCTGTTATCTTAGTACTATGTGTACTCCATGTAAGCAATATTTATTATAGACATGGCAGAGCAACATAAAAGCAAGCAAAGTTTCTTCTTTCAGTGGTCTACTAAGTCTGGTCTACTAAACTACTGGAAAATATCCCTAAGAGCAACAAGAAGCTTGCACTATACACAATAATCACCAAAAATCTCTGCTCTTGCATCAGTAATCATCTCAGTCTCAGCTCTTCCCACACCCCCATAAATGCCTTTATTTGTAGATGCTCCCCTTTGGGATATTAAGAGTTCAGTTTGGCTGTAACTTATTGTGTGCCCCACAGGAGATACCCTGCGAAGATCACTGAGACAGAGGTCAATGTTTTGTAGCAGAGGTACTTACTTTTTTACTTCATAACACTTGAGACTTGACAACAAAGCTCTTTTAAGAGCAAGAAAGTTAGCCGGGCATGGTGGCACACATTTTTAGTCTCAGCCCTCAGGAGGCAAAGGCAGGTGACAAAGTTTGAGGACAACCTGATATAGATCGAGTTCTAGGACAGCCAGGGCTACACAGAGAAACCCTATCTAAAAACACCAACCAACCAACCAATAAATAAAAAAGAACAAGAAAATTCTTACATGAAGAACCACAGGAAACCAAAGAAAGTTAAGAGCAGGAAAACAGTCCTCTCCAGGGAAGAGCACACCAATTGGCTATCCAATACTAAATGGTCTGCTTTGAAAACATGCATACAGGTAGCACTATACAGACTGAGTTAGAGAAACACACAGACAGAGACACACACAAACATGCACACACACACGCACACACACACACACACACGTGTGTATATATATTTTTTCCCTAAACGTAACATAATATATGTACGCGTGTGTGTGTGTGTGAGTGTGTGTGTGTGTAACAATTAATAAAAAAAGAGGCCATAAATTTAGGAGAGAGCAAAAAGGGTATATAGGAGGTTTTGGATGGAGGAAAAGGAAGGGAGAAATGCTGTAATTCTATTACAATCCCAAAAATAAAATATTAAAAACAAGCAAACTATATATATGAAAAACTCCCAAAACACAAGAAATATAGTTGGTTAACTGTAGCAGTAAAGTCCAAACACTGCAAACACAAATAAATTTATCCTATCATGGGATCAGGAGTCTGTGTTCTTCTGAGTTCTGAGGCAGATTAGCTTGAAAGTTCTGTGCTGTTTAGATTTCAAGATGTAATAGCACAACCTATGCTGCAATTTGTGTCTTGTTCCTGAATCTAGCCCCATTGAAATTATGCAGTCTGCCTTATGCAATGTTGCCCAATATCAGATACTATGCTAGAATCCACAGTAAGTACTCATTCCACTGACAGTATCTTCTCCTACCTTATTTATTTTAAATTTTTCTTATTTTAAGTGCATCTTCTCTTCATCCATATGTGTGCATTTCCCATTTTTATGTCTAAGTGTATATAATAAGTGCACTCCTAAAAACCAATTGCATAATAAAAAACTTCTTATTGAGAATGCCTTCTTATTCTTTATTATATTGCAATTGGGATATCAGTCTTGGGATACACTAAAATTTTAACATTATTTTTAAAATATGTTTATATTTATTATATATATAATAAACTATATATATACATATATGTATAGTTATCAAATCCACTGAAATTGAAATTACAGATGGTTATATATACCATGTGGGTGTGAGGAACCAAACCCAGGTCCTCTGCAAGAATAGCCAATGTTCTTAAACACTGAGACACCTCTCCAGCCTGCTTTAATAGTGTTTTTAATATTAACACAAAAAAATTAAAATCATAACGTTACAAAAAGAAAGTCTATGGGATAGAGAAATGGCTCAGTAGTTCAAAGCAATGGATAGTCTTCCAGAGGACCCAGACTCAAATCCCAGCACCAACATGACAGTTCACAACTCTAGTTTATAACTCTAGTTCCAGGGAGATTCAACAGACACACATGCAGGCAAAACACCAATGCACATAAAATAAAAAACAAATCATTTTTTAAAATGTAAAACAAAAAAGAAATGTGTACAGTACAACATCTCAATTTCTCTTTTCTCTCTCCAGCCTTCCCCACACTTAGCTAATCCCTAAAGGCCTCTCAGAGTTAGTCATTGCCATCCCAGAAAGGACATTAAACTATTATGATGAACTTCCTCAAGTCACAAGCACATTCCTCTGGCTCTAGTGTAATTGTTTTATCATTAAAAATGATTGGAGCAAAAAAGGTTCATTAAATTTCCTTCCAAGATTTTGAGGAATGGACTTTGTTTCCTCAGGGTAACACGGTCTGCAGGTCACTGTGACGCTGTATGTCCAGCTAGAGCCAAAGGAAAAACGAGGCTTCAGTTCAGAGAAAATGTCCACTAGACCAATTCACCTGTCCTGTGTTAAACCAGGAAACTGCACATCCAGCACACAGGGCTGTAATTACTGCAAATAACAAGAGTACAAATTAAAATCTACAAGTCCCAGAATCCAGGGAGCTCAACACTTCCAAGAGTCTGTTTCTATTTGAAAGGAATTGTGCATAATACGGGGAGGTGAGGCTCAGAGTCATAAACCTGGAGGACCACTGAAGTGACAAATAGCATACAGACTATCTCTGCGCTCTCCCACACTATGAAATTCACATAAAGCAGCCTTTAGACCTTACTTTACACGTATCAAATGAACCTGTTTCCATGTAATTGTGGAGAATAATACAAACAAAAAACACAACAGAGACTTACCTTCAAAAGGGGATCCCAATTCATATCTTCCACTAAAAAAGTGTGGCAAGGAAAACACCAGTGCTCCCAGTCCTATCATAAAGGATGCAAAGGCAAGCCAGCGAGGTTTGTGTCCCCTCTCTCCAAAGAATGATACAAATAAAGACAACACGCAAAAGGAGATATCATAGCTGGATGATATCAAGCCAGTCAGTGAGCTCTTCATTTCATAACGCTTCTCGATGGTGGAAATGCTAATATTTACTAAGCCATTTACTACAATACCTAGAAAAGAGCAAATGCATTGTTTTAGCTTCCATGTGTATACAATTAGCGTTGGAAAGCACAGGGGGTTGTTCCATTGTTCTTTTACTATTTTTAAATGTGCCAATTGAAAAAAAAATCTCTCAAGCCCCAATGTCAGGCAATCCAAACATGTTCCCTCCAAAATCATTTCGCTTTTCCTATTGTAAAATTGTCTTTTCATGTGTTCTACAAAGGCAATGCTTACTTCATGTTAACTAACCATTATTTGTCTGAATTCACTAAATTCTTCAATTCATAAATGAAAAACAGAGTAGTAAAGTCCCATGAAACCAGTTTGCTAGAGAATTCTTTAAGTTCAAGATACTCTACAAAACTCTCTGGAAAGAGGACAGCAACAACAAGTTGCCACAGAGGAAAGACGTTACATCAAGGTTCAATTACCTCCTGAGTTTCAGACATACCTATCCGTAACTACAGTTCACCCTGAGCTAGTTTCAAGAAGAGGAAGTTGAGCTCAAGTCTGTATTTCTTTTCCAACACTTTCACAAACATTAAATAAAGCTTTGCTACCATTTTGTGATATAGTACTTCAAAGTCCCTTGGCTGATCTTGAATCAGAGATTAGTACTTCAACGTCCCTTGGCTGATTTTGAATCAGCGATCCTACAGCCTTGGCTACTCAAGTGCTGGGATTATGGGTGTATACACCCAGTCCACCTTCAAGGTATTATTTAAAATGGTCAGGATTAAAAATAAACACAAATTAAGTGTTATTTTAACCACTAACATGATAAATCATATTAAAAGTAAAATATAGCAGGAAAGGCTACATACAGTCCACCTGCCTGTTTGATAAAAGAATAATAAAGTTCTAGAAGGGAAAGGAGGCTGAGTATCCAGTGTTGACTGATTTTAAGATGCCTGTCCAGATATAGATCAGATCCATAGGAACAGAAATGTGGCAGTAAGCTAAAACCTAAAAGTGATGCAAGTTTTAGTTAAGTTTGTTATTTCCAGTATTAACTAGGCTCGATATAAACATTTTATAATAACTGCAGTCTGTCTTGTTGTTTTATCAAGACTGCAAATGAAAATATATTTTAACAAACTTGGCATGACAACAGCTTTCAATGTCCTAAAATTTTGTGCGTTTGTTTGTGTCTTTTGCTTCTCTTTAAACTAATTAGTAGTTTGGAGACTGTAAAATGACACGTGTGAAGCACCTAGAAATGGCATTTATAGGGAAGTAGCTACCTGATAACAAAATTTTTCCCATGTAAACATCAACCTTCCAATATACCCACAACACTGATTAAAAATTAGTTATGCTGGGTGTAGTAGCAGTTAGGAGACAGAGGCAGATGGATCTCTGTGTGTTCCAGGAAAGCCTGCCTGGTCCCCAAAAACTAAATAAAAACCAGTTACTCACTAGAAATCATTGCTTTTACAGTAAACCTTAATTTTTCAAATATCTAGAAGAAGATAGCCTTTAACCCCATGAATGCCCAGTTCTAGGCCCTATGCATTCCAAGAGCACTGCATTTTTATCAGCTCAGGAAGAATGTAGACTATGTCTCACCTTTGTAATGCACAAGGATAGGAGGCTCCCTGGGAGGTCGGATGCTGAGCAAGATACCCATTGCCTTTGAGAAATGTCTGTTAAACTCCTTCCTCAAGCTGTTTTCCTTCCTAATCAAACGTCTGTTAACATATAATAACTATAATGTTAACATATATGGACTTCCCAAGGGTAGTGAGGTGCACATCACAGCAATACACTTTCAGTCACTGAAACCTAAACTTTACATAAATCAACATACTGGGCTATTTTTCTTCTATTTTTTTCTACTTTAGCATACATCAATATACTGGGCTATTTTTTTTTCTATTTATCTTAAACCAGAGTAAATGATGCTTGAAACTAAATAGACATTTTCACCTGAGAGTATCAATTCTATTTGATAATAACTTAAAACAGTATTTTCTGTTGATCATAAAGTGTCAGGGTAACATAGACATTGCAGAGCAGAATTTAAGGTAAAACACAAGATAGATCTTGCTGTTTAGTTCTACACTAGCTTCAGATAAGTACACCCAAGACGTAACTGGAAAGAAAACTGGAGGGATAAGAAAGGTGGAAAGGAAAATGACTACAGCATAAATCCTCAGGAAAGGAGCAGAAATCTACTTATGATCAACAAATATTTACTTAGCACCCAGAGGGTGCAAAGAAAGAGGTGCCAAGTTCCTTGAAATAGAAACAAGTAAGAACAGAAGACAAGAGACTTCCGTTTTTCATTAATTTAGCAAAGACCAATTTCCAGTAACCCCCCACTATCTCTTTGGTTGCATTCCTTCCAACCAGTCCTTGACTATTACAAAATATTTATGGCTCAATTAAGGCCAAATATCTACATAAGACATTCATCTTAACTTTCAGTGTATCTTTGAAACTGCCCCACCTCCTGCACACCCCTCTTAGGTTTATCTCTTCAGACTAACTTCCCATTCATTCTATTCCTTCCATTGGAGGCAAACCAACTTCATTAAACTTCTTTCTTTCTGCTTTCTTTCTCTCAAAAAAAAAAAAAAACCAACCTTCTCCTCATCCATCACACCTCTCACTCAGAAAACTCGGTTTAGATCGCGAACTCCTGGGAGGATAAGTCTAGCCTTAATCTGTTAGTCCCAAGGGGCCAAGGGGACTGAAAAGACTTGCTAGAACAAACAGACACTCGATAACTCCTGTGACTGAAAGGCTAATAGAGGCTCGCCCTTCTGGGCTGGAAGCTTTTTCTCATTTAGTCGCTGAGCTGCACGTGTGCCCACGTTCTCAAATATACACAACATAAGGTTACCTACATTTAATCTATGCTACATAAAATCAGTCCACTCCTGTTTGCAAAGCTTTTCATCTTTCCTCTGTAAAAACAAAACAAAACAAAACAAAAACAAATAAACAAATCCCTTCCCTAGCTCCCAGTAGACAGTACGGTTTTAAAATGCAGACTCTACCCTAAGGCTTATCATTTTCCCGAAGGACTGTTCTTATAATCTTCCCTAGGGGAATCTACTCTGCTAAATTGAGGCAGAAGACAAAACAGCAAAACCTCGCATGCCAGGTTTTAAATGATGCTATCTAAGGAGGTAGCTGGAAATGGTGGACACGCACCGGCCGGCAAGAGCTTCTTCAAGTTCCAAGCCCAAGGGGTGGGGGTGGGGGGTTACCTAGTGCCGCGTTAACTACCGGGTCAATCCGTGGGGGTTCTCCTGCACCTGCCTCCTCCTCTTCCCCAGCTCGACCTCACCCAACCACCGGCTCAGCCAAAGTCCCCAGAAGCTGGCGCGGGACTTCACCTTGCGTGAGGGCCAAGAGGCAGTAGTGGAGAAGAAAGCCTTGGGGCGTGTTGCAGAGCTGGAGACACCGGGGGTGGAAGTCCCTCCACCCGCAGGGTCCCTCCTCCAGCTCGCATAGCTGTGTTCCCGGTGGCTCATCGGAAGCTGGAGGAGTTGAAGAAGGCAGAGATGGCTCAGATGACTTCTGGGGCTCCTCAGATTCCCGGGACTGAGAATCCCCATTCTGGTTCCTGGAGGTCACAGCAGAGACCTCCACCTGGGAGGGCGAAGCTGACGCACGGCGCGGGGTGTCCGGGCTGGAAGGGACAAAAGCGGGGTTTTCGATTCCTTTTGCGTCCTGCATGGTCAAGAGGGGTTCTCTGGACTCAGGTGTCTGAGATCAGCAAGACTGGTTTCTTTCCTGGCTCCGCCTCTGGGCAGGTGACAGCGCCCTAGAGCAGGACCAGTCTCCGCCCCTGGCCCTCCCCCTCTGGGCACATCGTGGCCACCTCAGCTGCCTGGACACTCCCGGAGCTCCTGGTCCCGCCACACCTGTCGCAGCAAGCAACAACCTTAATGCTCTGCGTGGGCGTGCGACCCCGCCTCCGCTAGGGGAGGGGAGAGGACCGCAGTATCGTGGATGCGAGGGTGGCACTATCGCGGAACTCGGTGCAGCACTGTTTTCATGGAGCCCAGGGACTGGTGACAAATAGAGGCTGTGGGAGTCTGTGGACCAGTGCTCCCCCTGGGTGTATATATGAAAGCTGCAAACACAGTTGCGTCAGGAGACCTTTCAGGAAAACCTGCTCCTGCTTTCTCCTTTGTTACTTATCGAAGCAAGAATCCTGTGCTCCAAGAATCAGGCCGCCCTCAGGTATAATACGTTGAATTCCGTGAACACTATAAAAGAACTTTCATCTTCTAGCCTTCTTGGGAAAAAAAACTTCTATATTACGCCGACATTCATAAGGCCGTGGCCACCTTTTTGGTTTTAGTTTCTCCAAACTGAAGGAATAATAAAACTTTAAAAAGTCGCCAGGCGCTGGTGGCGCACGCCTTTAATCCCAGCACTTGGGAGGCAGAGGCAGGCGGATCTCTGTGAGTTCGAGGCCAGCCTGGTCTACAAGAGCTAGCTAGTTCCAGGACAGCCTCCAAAGCCACAGAGAAACCCTGTCTCGAAAAACCAAAAAAAAAAAAAAAAAAAAAAAAAAAAAAACTTTAAAAAGTCATACATGTCTTCTCTGGGCAGCGTATTTATTGCAAGCCTAAAATGGAAAAGAAATGATCATCATGCAAATAAAACAAAAGAAAACTGATTGGAAGACATTAATATTGCTGCATTACTGACAATAATTCCAATCTATTCAATTATCATTTCATTGATCAAGAAAGTATTTCCTGTGTACTAAAGCCTGCTGCAGTCTATAAGAGTACACTGGCCAAGACAAAATGGCAAATACCTCAAACATTGTGGTGCTCACATTCCAATAGGAAGCAATCCCTAGTAATATGTACACTGAGCCCTACATAATGCTACGATAAATTTTGATTTTGATTCTACATGCCATACTTGCTGGGGTGAGAGACTGAGATGTAAGCTTGATGTATTACTTTGAACATTCAAAAAATAGTCCGGATTGTCATTAGCCCTGGCGGGTTAGAGAAAAGGACTGCTATGTTCCCTGTTACTGACCCTTAAATGAGTGTAATTACTGTTGTGTAAGTGTCACACACTGAAAAATTTCTGCCCCGGGGAGAATCAAAAGCCCTCCCAAGGCAGCGTGCTGACTACAGGCCTAATATTGGAGGGAACCTGAACTCAATGCCCCCACTCTGGACTTCACGTTATCTGTCTTTTAGTTACCTCACCCTACTTGTGATGGTTAGATTATTTCGTGGTCATTCCCAAAGATCAAAACCAACACTTAGCCCAGTGTCATGGCACACACCCTTAGTCCTAGTATTTGGGGTATAGAAGCAGGCAGATGTCTTGAGTTCAAGGGTACCATGATCTAGGTAGTCAGTTTGGGGAAAGCTAGAGCTACATAGAGAGAGCCTGTCTCAAAAACTTCATGCTTCTCTGATATGAGGTTTTGAACCTAAGAAGCTGTGGATGTTTAGATTCTGGAGGAATTACCTATGCTATGTAATCCCCTGAGCCCAAATGAATTGGATTTAAAATGATCTCAGTATGAATAGAAACCATCATATTTTCTACAGAATGTGAAGTAATTTACCTACCCGGAAAAGCAGTATTTGACTAGGTTTGGTTACCTCAGCAACGGTTATGTTGTAAGTTTGAATGAACAGATTCTAAGTGTCCCACTCCAATCAGAGTAGCAGCAACAGTACACATTTAGATTTAAACTAAGGACTCTTCATTTTCACTAAGTCAGCAGGGGATCTTTGCTCAAAGATTAGCAAAAGGGCTGTTTCTTCATCTTCAATACACATTGGTATTTCTAAAAGTGTTACCAACATCATTTTCCTGTTACATTATATTCTTTGTGTTGCAAGGGTCAGAGGAAGGAGACTGAAGTGTGCTATAAAGATGAAAAATGCTGAGCGGTAACTAAGACAATATATGAGTGTTTTACCTGTATGTATGTGTACTACATGTGTTTCTGACACCCCCAGTGGGTATGAGAGTTCCTGGAATTGCAGTTAAGGACAGTTGTGAGCTAATTTTGTGAATATTGGGAGCCAAACCCAGATCCTCAGCAAGAGCAGCAAGTGGTTTTGATGTCTGGGCTCATTCTCCATCCTCTCCACACTAAATATTAAAACAGAATTGTGTGTTTTTGTGCATATGTGTGTGTGTGTGTGTGGTGTGTGTGTGTGTGTGCGTGTGTCTATGTCTATGTGTCTAGCAACCAGAGCTAAACTTAAGACTTTGTGAATTCTAGTATAACATCTTAAATTTTTTATATCATAAAGCATCTTCCCACATTTTCCAGGTTGGCTTTGAATTTGGGATCGTTCTGCCTTTGCCCACAGAGTTTCTGGATTACAGAGCCATGTGCTATTCTCCCAAGCCCATGCAATCTTACACTAACTAAATAAAAGCAAAGAAACAGCCTAAGTGCTCAGAGTATCCTTCATTTATCTCTTTCATTTAAGTATCTCATAGAATGTATATGTGAAAACAAAGAGTTTGGTGCTTATCTACATTGCTTTAATACTGTAATAGCAGAGATATGTTTATATTAAAAAGAATTTCAATTATAATTTTTAAATATTCGTTTGTCTTCAGGGCTAAACATTTGGTGTATTCTTTTCTGTGAAGGACTATTTCTCATGCTCTCAGCATTCCTTGGTTGCCTGTAGTTCTTTGTGTAGAGTTGAGGCCTTGTGGACATTCCCCTTTCCACTTTGGCATGTCTATTGTTGTACTTGTTCAGCTCATGTTTAGACAGTATTGTTGGTGAGACTTCATAGGCCTAGCTTCTGACATTACTAGCAGACAGTCTCACCACAAATTCCCTGATACTCTCTTACAATCTCTCCAACTCCTTTTCTTTTTCTTTTTATAATAATTAATTTATTTAACTTTTTACACATGTTTCTTCTCCCGCCACCACTCCCCCCAATCCTCCACTCCACTCCACTCCATTCCGCCTCTGCTCACCAAGGAGGGTAAGGCCTTCCATGAGGGATTTTCAGAGTCTGTCATATCATCCCAGGCAGGGCCTAGGTCCTCCGCCATGTGTTCAGGCTGAGAGAGCATCCCTCCATGTGGAAAGGGATCCCAGAGTTATTTGTATGCCAGGAATAAATACTGATCTACACTCCAAGGTCCCATAGATTGCCTAGGCCTCCTCTGTAACACCCAGGTTGGGGGTTGGGGGGATGTCTTGATCAGCCCCATGCTGTCCTCTATGTCAAAAGTCTAGGGTCCCTTGTTTAGGTCAGTTGCCTCTGTGGGTTTCACCAGTTGGGTCTTGATTCCTTTGCTCACCACTCCTCTTTGCAACTGGGTTCCAGGAGTTCACTTCAGTGTTTAGCTGTGGGTGTCTGCCTCTACTTCTGTCAGCTACTGGGATGGTGGTTCCAGGATGGCAACATGATAAAGGTCTTGGAGAGATCCAGGATGACAGGTCCACACCTAAACATAACAAAAGCAATATACAGCAAACTGACAGCCAGCATCAAACTAAATGGAGAAAAACTCAAGGCGATTCCTCTACAATCAGAAACAAGACAAGGCTGTCCATTCTCTCCATATCTCTTCAATATTGTACTTGAAGTTCTTGCTAGAGCAATAAAAGAACAAAAGGAGATCAAGGGGATACAAATTGGAAAGGAAGAAGCCAAATCCTTTTCTATAATGTTCCATGAGCCTTAGGTACAGGGGTTGTTTTGTGGATTTAATACTGCAACAGCACAGAGATATAGTTATATTAAAAATATAACTGTGATTTTAAAATGTTTTCTTGTTGAAGTGTGTGTGTGTGTGTGTGTGTGTGTGTGTGTGTGTGTGTGTATGTAAGCAACTGAAGAAAAAGAGGCCATGACTTTGAAAAACGGAAAGAGAGTTTAATGGGAATATTTGGAGAGGAGAAAGGTAAAGAATACATGGTGTAATTTTATTATAATCTCAGAAACAAGTACTTGAAATTTTCTTTCACTTTGAAGATTTCATATACATAGAGAATGAAATATGATCATATCTACTCTTTCCATAACTTTGTCCCAAACCTGTCCTTAATTTTTTCTCTAACTCACTGTCTATTGACGCTACCCATCATTGAACACCTACCTTTGACCACATCCTCAAATGAGAATGTTTTGTCACTCCAAGTAGTCCTTCACTGCCAATTGAAATTACACTGGGATGTTGGCTGGCTTGATTTTGTGGAGCTGGTCTGAGTTCATGAGGGTGATAGCCACATCATGCCCATGAGGACACTTCACAGCACCCTCCCTATTCTTTCTGCCTTTGGGGATGTGTTATTTACTGATCCTTGATGCAGGGTTGTGGGGGAGGAATTAATATTGGTGTCTTGTTTAGGGCTAAGTGTTCAGTGCCTTGTTCTCAGCACTTTGACCCGTTACACATCTCTCCATTGACTTCTGCCCACTGCATAAGCTGTGAAGATGGCTGAGAACAAATGAGATCTGTCAGTATGAACGTCAGTAATAAAGAGGCAATTGCACAGCATGTCTGTTTAGCAGTGCAACAGACTACAGAGTACTTTAACAACAGCAGGCTCTACCCGGTGTCTATGAACTCCCAGCCATGGTCTTGTGACCAGGGTTACATTAAGGTTCTTCTCTACCCTATGCCATTCTGAGAAATGAAAATATTAAGAATGAATCCATTAACTAGAGAGAGAGAGAAACAGAGAGAGAGAGAGAGAGAGAGAGAGAGAGAGAGAGAGACTATAAGTAAACCAACACAAAACGAATTGTTGCAACTCACTACATGAATCTGGCTGAACTATTACATTTTATACTAAAGTAAATATAGTGGCAACATTAAGTGGTATTATTAAGCCATCAGAATGGGGTGTTTTGGTGTTATTGTTTTAATAAACCCAGGAAAATATTCTTATTCAATGTAGATATATCATTCTCCACTTTTCTATATATCAAAATTATTTGATATGTTTCTCTATATATTTATTGGGTTTTTAAATTTCTATATATTTTAAAATTAAAAAATCTCTATATATTTTACATTATTTAAATTTACATATTTCTATATATCAATGACAAATAGTCAATGCTTAAGATGAGTTGGACAAGTTCAAGGACTTAGTTTGGAGAGGCAGTGGTTCTGTGACTAGCTGCTTGGAAGCAAAGAAGATTCAGAGTCTGCTTAGTGTCTGAGGAACTGAGACAAATAGACACAAAAAGAGAGACAAGACACAGAGATGAACTAGGTAATAGATAACTGATGGCATGTATGTAGATAGACACACACACACACACACTCACTCACACACACACATAAATACATACACGGATAATAGATCATGATGATGACGATAGATAGGTAGACGTATGGATGTAAATAGAGATATAAAAGATAAAGTTGATGCCACACATTTTAACAACAGGTTCTAAATGTTGCCTGCTTATATTGTGGAAATAGGTATAAGCACAGAGAAGAAATAGAAAGGGATGCATCATAGGAAGGATGGGAGAAAAAACAGAGCTGTAAAGAACATGTATTAACAAATGGTCTTGTGGTAAGACAGAGATTAGAGGACTTGTTTTTCAGGGTCCCAGTCCAAACCCAGATGGCTTGGTGGTATGAGTTAAGTGACTTATGGTTCGAGATACTTCTGTAACACACACACAATCTCTGTTGCTCTTTCCTGAGCCAGCACCAAGGGAATGAGAGGAAGACAACAGATATGAAGGAGGTTGGACTTTGTCTCCAAGAGCTAAGATTCCCCAAGAGTAGGCAACATGTGACAAGGGTTCTGTGCTTTGGATGGAAAGATACAAGTGAGAAAGAGCACACTGAGAGTCTATCTTCTGTGAGACTTGGAACTATCAGATGGGTATTGTAAGTAGAAGATATATGTGGGCTCAAAATGAAGGTAAATTTCAACAACACCCAATGTTTTGGAATTTATTTTCTAGATATTGAAAGAGAAATATACCTATTAATAGGTGTTTTGCTCCCCCCCTACATAATAGGTTTCTCCAATGATTCAGTAAATGAGATCAAGCTGAATTGAGAATGTATATCAACAAGTTTATTTGAGCAATGCAACTTCCAGGAGGGTTCTCTAGTCCCAGAGATGAGGTCAGAGGATGCGGGCCCACAAACAAAAGCAGGGAGACTTTATATGTTGCAGGTGAGGGGTGATGACATGTCCTCCAACAAGCCAGGTTTGTCCCCAAGTTTGGTCAAAAGCTGAGCACTTAGGAGGGTAGTCAGACAGCTGGCCACTCTAGGGGAGGAAACTGCAGTAGCTGTCAAGAATGCAAAGCTGGGCCTTTGGGAGCCTTTCTTTTGTTTGAGATTCTCTGAGTGGGTGGGGTTTGAAGAAAGGAATGGACTTTTCCATCAGGCAAGGCGAAGCTGGAGGTTCCAACCGAACACCTATTTGTTACAATTCTTTTTTCTTTTGCAGCAGATTTAGAAACATCATTTTTTTTAATTCAGTAAAATCTAGAACATAATATCCTTTTAGATACTTTTTTGGGTTTTTTTTTTGTTGCTGTTTGTTTGTTTGGTTTGGTTTTTCCAGACAGAGTCTCTCTGTAGCTTTGGAGGCTGTCCTGGAACTTACTTTGTTGACCAGGCTGACTTGGAACTCACAGAGATCCTCCTGTCTCTGCCTCCCAAGTGCTAGGTTTAAAGGTATGCACTACCACCTGGCCCTTTTAGATAACGATAAGGACAAAATATTAACATATAAAGCTTGTGTTCATAAAATGTATCAAGTATATATTTTCATAAACACAAAACAGAAATGCAAGCTCAACAAATAAGGTATTCAGTGGCTCTTCAACATTGTCTTCAGAGGACTGACTGGCAGTTTTTTAAGTGGAAGAAAAGTATGCATACTTAGGTATTGCCAACCTGTGCTTCCACCCCTTAGCCTTGTCTGGGATCCACAGCCTGCAGCACCTCAGTCTGACAGACAGTCTCATAGTGCACAATCTCCTCCCCTGGGCTCTAGATCCTCCTCTCACCGATAACAGGTTTTAGTCTTTTCCTTCTTCAAACATGAGGTTAAGGAGGAAATCCCACTTCCTCTGACATCACTGTTTCAACTGCCAGAAAGCTACAGGAAGAGGCACAATCTTTATTCCTGCATAATTGCACTTTCTCTGAAAAACAAAATTAGATGTAAAAAAAAGTGAACTTTGTGTGTAAAAACAAAATCATCCTTAATAAAACCATTTTTTCAATTATGTGAGAATTTAGTGAACAGGCAAGCATAATTATCATGTATTTCAAAAAATTTTCAAGTAATAAATACCATAGCTGAAATCATTTGCTCACCATGTTTTGACTTTGTATACCTTGACCTTGTTATATTCTGTTTATTTTAATTTTGTCTTTTGTAGGAGTGAACCCCACAAAGCTATCCACCCATGAGGGCAGAGACATGTAAACTGACATAGTAGATATAAAAGGAAGTGAATGAAGAAGGAACCTCCCTTTTCTCCTGGAAGCCAGCCACGCTTCTAACTCCTGGTCTGTGTGACTCTCTCTCTCTCTCTGGTAAATAAATATATTGTTTTCCATATATAGCATCGAATATCGTTATAGTCTTTTGTAAAATGGGACCAATAACAGCTATGTCATATATACTATAAAACTATGGTGTTACAATTATATCATTTAATTCACTAATGAGCTTAGAGTGTGGGACACATAAGAAGTTATTCAAACATCCATGACATACAGATTAAACATCCTCTACATGAAAGTATTTTACTAATGGCATATAGAAAAGAAGAGAGATAAATCACTGACCATCAGGAGCTTACATTTCAGTAAGTTCCCACCAACTCTCGTACTCAGGGGGTCCGGATTAGTCCATGTTGACATCCCAGCTGTGGGTCCAGGATCCAAGAGCTCCCCCTTGTTCAGGTCAGCCATCCCTGCTGGCTTCACCAGCCCATTCTTTGCCCATTTACTCGTCACTCCACTCTCTCTGTCACTGGGTTCTAGGGGTTAAGTTCAGGGGAGTGCTAGTCTGCAATTCTACTCACAGAGAGTCTGGGAAACAGGAAAGGACCTAACATGGTGGGGGGTGGGGAGGGAGTGGGAGCTGGTAAGAAGAGAGGGGGAGAAGAGGGGGAGAGAGTACGTCATGGGGGAACAGGAAGGTTGAGTTGGGGGTAGAATACGGAGAGAACAGGATGAGAAATACAGTAATAGAAGGAGTCATAGGTTTGGAGAGAGATCTGGCACCAGTGAGTCCTCTAAGGATCTACAAGGATGGCACCAACTGGCAAGCTAAGCAATAGTGGAGAGACTATCCTAAATGCCCATTCCTGATAATAAACTTGACAATTACCTTATATGCCATCCTTGAACCTTCACTCAGTGACTGATGGAAGCAGAGGCAAACACCCACACCTAAACACTGAACTGAACTCCTGGTAGGATAATTTTTAAATAGAAATGTAATAAGAAAAAAGTCAAAGGAATCACACAAGCACTATCTTGGAAAAGTGTGTAAACTAAGCCAAACTGGAGATTTTTATACAGAGAATAAAGTTTATTTCTAGCCTTAAGTAAAACAAGATAAATGTTTGCCATATAGCACTGGGCCTGGGAAATAAAAGGTAGGGTCTCTTAAAGGGGTGTCAGTAAGTTTAGTTGCAGAGACAAAAAATAGAAAGGCATAGTAACTGAAACAAGTTGTCTTAGTTAGCGTTTTTATTGCTGTAAAGAGACACCATGACCATGGCAACTCTTTTCATGGAAAACATTTAATTGGGTGGCTTACAGTTTCAGAGATTTAGTCCATTATCATTATGGCAGAGCATGGTGGCCTGTAGGTAGACATGGTACTGGAGAAGATGCTGAGAGCAGAGAAGGAGTTACATCTTGATCAGCAGGCAACAGGAAGTGATCTGAGACACTGGGCATGGCTTGAGCACATATGAGACCTTAAAACCTACCTCAACAGTGACACACTTCATCCAACAATGCCACACCTACTCAAAAAAATCTACAACATCCTGACAGTACCAATAGTGGCACTATCTATGAGATTATGGGGGTCAATTACACTCAAACTATAGCACAAGTAGTTGTAAGCTTCTTGAAAGGTATCAATTCACAGAGATTTGGAGTCTAAGGTACCTGCAATTCATACTCTGTCTATACTACTGATATGTCATCTACAATTCCTGTATGCCAGACTTAATCTTCTAAGAAAACACCCAAAGTTCTTACCATCTCTAACTTCAATCAAACTAGAGAAAAACAGAGAAGGACATTTCCTGTAAGTTACACATCACATTTGCTTTCATCCCAAAGCCAAAAACCATTTACATCTGGCTAGCGAAAGATAAGAAATGATTGCCTTAATCCCATGCATTCAGGAAGTTCATTAATTGCAGACTTTAATTACTAAGGGAAAAGGACTAAATTATATTTGAAGTCAGTGATTAATGTAGACAGCTCAGAAGGGAAGAGAAACTGTCTTAGTGATGTGACAGGGATTACCTTACTGTTCAGGCAGCTTCTCTCTGTCAGAACTCTGCTACAGCCTGCATATTTCTACTTGAGATACAGTGTCTTACTGTTTATAGGATAGTATATATTGACTTTTGAGTAGCACAGCTTTCCAAAATTATACTATTTGTCGTAGTTATTTTAGTGAGGGAAGGTAGGTATTTTCTCTCTGCCTTGTCAAGGGGTGAACTTCATCTTTGTGCTCTCACCAGCCGCCATGTGCTATGCTTAGGTTCCCGTAACTGTTGTGAGTTTTTGTCCTAGGTTTTCTAGTATTGAGGCATCCTGATAATGCTACTTTAGGGTGCTTCAGCACTTCCTCTGGGAAGATTTCTGGAAAACAGTGAAGTCACATAGTAACATAACATCTTGCACCTCGCAGACATGAAGATTAATGCCCCTAATACCAACTGTGGGGAGGCAGAGACCGGTGGCTATCTGTAAACTGGTCTACATGGTGTAAAGGGAAAGCCTTTTCCTTGTCTCTACTTGGTTTTTCCCCCCTGCCAGTCGACTGGGCTCTGCCACATTGTAGTCCCCAAATAACACACAAGACGCTGTATTAATTATGAAGCTGTTGGCCTTGCTTGTTTCTTACTGGCTAGTTCTGACTTAAGTATTTACCCCATAATTGTTAATCTAAGTATTTCTCTCTCTTTTTTTTTTTTGGTTTTTCAAGACAGGGTTTCTCTGTATTGTTTTGGAGGCTGTCCTGGAACTCTGTAGACCAGGCTGGCCTCGAACTCACAGAGATCCGCCTGCCTCTGCCTCCCGAGTGCTGGGACTAAGTATTTCTCTTACCAGAGAGGTTTCCGGGCTTCCTACCCCATGGAGGTTACATCTCGACTTCCTGTGTTTCTCCTTCCCAGAGTCTCCCTGGACTCCTAGTCCCACCTATCTTGATTCCCTATTGGCCAACAGTGCTTTATTGACATATACACAGGACTTCCCCAAAAACATGGTAAATTTCAGACCTCACAGTACTTGATAGTTAGACTCTTTCTAACAAATAAAAACACAAATAACAACATACCACAAATAAATGCAGAGCAAAACAAAGCTTTGCACTTATGTGAAGTTTTTGAGAGGAACAGATCTGTACCTATGAAGACATCCCTAAGTATTATATGATGAATCTACTACTTTTCCCCAAAGATATATTGTTTTATTCTCATGGCAATATATTACTTATATTATTAAAGTTCACCTGAGGATTCAGAAAGCAAAGTCAGTCACAAGTCATAGCAGCCAGGCACACCCCTTTAATCCAAGCAGCCAGAAGCTAGGAGATAGTGGTACACATCTTTAATCCTAGGATTCATAATTAAGAGATAGAGAGATCTCTCTGAGTTCAAGGCCACCTAGTGATACATGAAATTGAATCAGTTTAAAAGAGTAACAGATCATACATCTTTAATCCCAGCACTAGAGGGATATAAAAGATAGAATCAGGGTGTTCTGTATTCAGTAGGTGCAGTAGGAGGCATTCATTCTCCAGCTACACTGAAGATCAGAACATTGATTCTCCAGCCACACTAAAGAGAGGAAGGCTCAGTATCAAGGAGGATAGGAAGACACTGAAGTCTCAGGATTCTCCAGCCATGCTGAGGAGAGGCAGCAGTTTGAGGCTTGATGAAGAGCTTGTCCATGGATCAGCCCTGAGCTTGAGATGAGAGCTAGTGGCCAGCTTCTTTGCTTCCCTGATCTTCAGGTTGAACATCAATATCTGTCTGTGGGTCTTTTATTTTTCATGTTACAGATCCTAAGCCAGTAGGTCTTAACTCAAGCTATGTTTATTAACAAAGTCTCTCTGAAACATTTTATCATTGATACTATTATTACAGAGGGAATAAGAGAACCAAGAGTTCCTCAAGGGTGATGAGCTTCTTGGGGTATTGTCCCTTCCTACTTGTTCCTTAAACTTTGACTTATGCTTCTTACAGATGGGTCTGAAGAACGAATTAGGGCACACCCAAACAAGTCAAGGTAAACAAAGGTCTAAAGAACCTAAAGAACCAAGAAGATATTGTTAGTATTCAATAGGGCTTTATTGTTTTTCTAAAATAATATCCCTTTCATGTTAACTGCTCAAGGGAAAGGAGCTTCTGCCCCCATAAGTGGCACTCACCTCCGTAAGCAGTCTTGTATCTCCTCTATCTCAGTGGTGATAGTTGTTTGTATGAGTCAATTTGACTGCACCATAGGTATAGCTTCAGATGAGTGAGATTCTGCTGTGTCCATGTTTCTGTGAAGTGTTGACATTTAAATCAGTTAAGCAGGTTATTCTTTCCAATGTAGATGCACATTAATCAGCCAGGTGGTGGCCTGAGCCGAATTAAAACATGACCTCCTCTGAGCAAGAGAGTTCTCTGGGAGACTTCCTTCAGATATCAATGGAATACCAGTTTTCTTGGCTCTTTGCCAGCCAGATAATGACAGTTTGGGACTTGCTAGCCTCTCTAATGAGGGAGGTCATTTGTTAGATCACATTTGATTTGCATACTACTCTGCCTCCCCACATTTGTTTGGTTCCTTCTTTCAGCAGACTAATAAGTCATATTAATTCATCAATGTTTTATTCTGGTTCTCAAATATATCCAATATCCATCTGTTTTGTTCTGTTTCCAAGGCAGAACAAAAAGTCATGAGTCTCTCTCTAAATGGCAATAATAGCTTCTGGTACAGCTTAGATCTATGAGGTTTGACAATAGCATAGGTGCTAAAATCTAGGTCCTCTTTGTTTTCTCCTACAGGGTTGCCTCACCCAGCCTTGATATGAGGGTTTGTGTCTAGTCTTATTGTATCTTGTTAGTCATGTTTGGTGTATATTCCTGGTAGTTCTGTGCTTTTCTGAAGGAAAATTGAGGAGTCCATCTGGGGGAGAGGGGAGATGGGATAGTGGTGAATGGAAGGGGTGGGGGAAGGGGAAATGTCAGTTGGGATGTATTAAAAACAAACAAAAAATTGTTAAACAACAACAACAACAAAAAGACCTCAAATCGTTGCTAGAGGGGTACAATAAAAGCTTAAAGATTTGGGAGCTAATGGAGATCTTAAGTGATTAAGATACTATCTCTGTTTCGCTTTCTCACATTCCAACTACAAGGTAAAGACTCTTATTTTCCATTCTGCCCCATAAGCACCTGTCTCATAAGTTCATAAGCAATGAAGATGTCTAATGGATGGGAAATCTCTAAAACTGTGAAGCAAATGTTTCCTGTAGTAAATTAATTGTCTCTATTATTTTGTCACAGTGATAATCAAATAACCAACACAGCTCTTTATGGTATTCTATTCTTCCAGTAGACATCTACAATTTATTTTTGACATAGAAATCAAAATTACCCTTTATAAGTTTATATTACTGTATTTTTGTGTGTGTGCACACATGTATATGTGTGTATACATGTGTGTGTGTGTTCATGTGTATGTATATGTAAATCGAGGTAAAAGATGAGGAATTAAATCACTCCTTCCACCATGGATGGCAGTATTGCGCTAAAGTCACTAGGCTTGTATGGCAAGTACTTTTACTCACTAAACCATCTTGCCGTACCCAAATTGTTCTTTTAAAACATGAAAAAGTTTAATTAACAATATATACACATTATGACGTACAGTTTATTTAATAAAATAGTAGCCCTGGATCTATACTCACTTAAACATACAACAGAAGAAAGGAAAGGCAAAGGTCTTATAGTAAAGTGGCAATCACTAATATAGAAATATTTAATTGGTAAAATGTTGATAAGGAAAGGATGTTACATACTTTCTGGCTATTCCTGCAAATCATGTATTACAAATAAAAACTAGTAACGATACTGGAGAAACATTGTAGAAGTCGTCTAAGTGACACTGATGATCCAATACACTGAGAAGGCTCATGGTGATGTATGTGGGATTCTTGTCATACATACATAGTCTAACTCATCATACAGTCATTAAAAGCATCTGTGATGTGCTAGTTCCTTTTTCTTCTTTTCATGAGAGGAGTTAAGGATTACTTTCCCCATGGATTTCAGCCCATCAGAACTAGAAAAACAGGGCAGGGCACTTCTTCACTGTCAGTAGGTGCATATCCTGCTGTGACACTAATCTGGATGTGGAACACACAGTGTGGAACCAGGCTGGGTGTGACCCTTTGGCCCTCTTCGCCTACACAGGCTCCTCCTTTCCCAAAGGATCCCAAAGCATTCAAGTAGTGCTTCAATGCTCTACACAATTATTTCTGCTTTTTTAAAAATTAAGAAAAATTGCTTTAGCATGTAAAACAATTTACCCAAAGTTACATGATTAAATGAAAAAGTTGAAATTTAAACCCTGGTGATAGAGACAAAGCCTAGGCCATTACATGATAATATGCTGTCAGTGATAGTTACATGTCTGCACATGGAACTGTTCTAAGCCAAGATAATTTTTTTGCAAGGCATTGAAACTGACAAATAAATTTAATAAAAATATACTTCTTAAACCTGACTGTATCAAACTAAATATTTTTAAAGATTTGTTTTATTTTTCTTTTGGGGTGTGTCTGCATATACGTATGTTCACATGCGTTTGGGTTTCTGCAAAGACCAGAAGAGTGGATTGGATCTTCTGAAGCTGCATTTACAGGTTGACTAATGGGGGTGCTGGGAACTGAACTATGATCCTTTCCAAGAGCAACAAACTCTCTTAACACAGAGCTATCTCTCCAGCTCCTAAAATAATTTTGTTGAGGGGAATACTTGTTACTCAAGTCCCAGTAAATAATATGAAGTCATTTTGCTTAACTAGGAATTTTTCTGTAACATGGGGGTGCATTTCTGAATGGGTATTCAGCTTAACTAGTGACATAGAAAAATGTTTTTTAGATTCTGTAGTGGGTTTTTAAAGGGTTTCAGAAAGGATCAATAAAAATACACAGAGCAAGTTTTGCTTAGACAATATCTTAATGGGTTTATTGTAGTGGAAACCCTCCATAAATGGCTGCAGCACTTTAATACCATTCCTCATATTGTAGTGATCCCCGACCATAAAATTATTTTCATTGCTACTTCATAAATTCAAGTTTGCTACTGTTGTGCATTGCAATATAAATATCTGATATGCAGGTTATCTGACATGTGACCCCTGTGAAAGGTTAAGAATCACTGTTGTATGACGAGGACAGAAAAGCTATATGATACCTTGTCTTTGGCAAACAAAACAAGCAAACAAAAAAGGAAAGAGAAACAGGGAAAGTAAACACAGGGGAAAAGGAAAGAAATAACTTGGGCTGGGGTAATCGTTGGTTCATTTGTATAACGAGTCATATGATAGTAATACAGTCTACTGGACAGGGGCCAGCAGGATATCTCAACAAGGAAGTCATTGTTAGGCAAGACTGACCACATGACGTCAGTCTCTGGACCCCACACAAAGGTAGAACAGGAGAACCCACTCCTCAAAATTGTCCTCTGACTTCACATAAGCCTCTCCAGATCCTGCACATTAATGATAAATGAAAATTACAAAAAAATTCTCTAGTCAAAGAGCAACAATTTACCTCTTAGAACCTCTAGGCCCAGATAAAATCACAACTGTATGTTCTTTGGCAGGTAAATTACAAAATGTCAAAGAAGTATTTGTTTAGGCTGATGAGAATATCAAAACTCTTTGAGAAAACTGAGCAGCTGCCAAGGAATGAGTTGTTTGCTACCATGAGACTTCTGGGAGGAAGTGAGTTTTTCTCTTGGTTACCCAGGCTTCTTATTTGTATATTTGCATATTAATCTAGTACAAGCTGAAAATGGTTGGCCTGCTGAAAAATATGACTCCTAAATGAAATATACAGTTTGACTTTGGACAGCAATGAAGAAACACAAGATTTGGAGTGGCAAATCTGTATTCCAAAGGCATTCAAAGGAGAATTGCAACCAGAAAGGCGTGTACAGGGGTTACAGGAACTTTGCACTTGCTATAAATATCTATGCTAAGCTATGCTTTGGCATCATTGGATGTCACAGAGCAATAACGACTTCCTCTTTTTAGACCCTGACATTTTAGTATAATTTACAAAAACATCCCAGCTGCGCTGCAGATCCACTGATGACACGAAGAATGTTCAGGATAATGCACAGTCATTCAGAAGCCTGGGTTATCAGAAGTGCTGCCATTCTGCAGATGTGCCACCAGAACTGTTACAGACATGGGAGTAAAGGATAGTAAATCTGAAAGATGACCAGTCTCTTCATTAATCATAATTAGTAGCTTTAGAAGGACCACAAAATGTGAGCGGGGAAGAATAGAATATAGAGTAGGATGAACACTATGTTAAATAGGAAAGAGAAGACACTTCCATCTTTAAAGGGTCAGGTTAGATCACTGACAGAACTTTTTTCATTAATGTTTCTACTGTTGTTTCGATCTGTTCTTAATTACTGCTAAACACTAGAAGGCCCTAGCCTATGAGGGAAGCAGGCTTTTAAGGTCACAGCTCTGGAGGTTCAGGGATATCAAGTCACCAAAAGCTCAGCTGTCAGAGAACTTTACATAGATGAGGACTGTGAAGGGATGAGATCACATCTTGAAAAAGGGATCAAGCATAAGATTCAGAACCTGGGCTTTGATGACAGTCTCCTCTAGAGGGACTCTCTCTTAAAGAACATTGCCTTTTGAGGGCAACATCTTCAATTACCTAAAGACCCCCCCCAGTAAAACATTACTCCAACAAACTCAAAAATCCCTTCCCATTTCACCATATTAGGGGCCAGTCCTTTTTAACAGGACGGAATGGGGGCAGTATGCTCAAGTTGTCTCTGGAAAGGGGAGCATGGCTGGCTCAACATTGCCAGGTATGCTGATTGAGTAGTCACCCTAGGACCTGCAGCCTCCACTTAGGGGAGATCAGAATTTCCGATGTGGCCAGTGTCCTCTGCTCAGAGCTTGTTGAGGCCTGGAGATGGCCCTCTGGGGATCCCATCCTGGCAGTCCACCCCACCCAGAGTCTGTTAGCATCTTAGTCCCTTTCTCTGCCCACAGGATGAGGTAAGCATGGGCCTGTTTCCACCCTGCCTTCCAGTGTCCTGCTCTGCCCTGAATGAGGCCTGGCAACTGTGCATTGGGGAACCCATTCCTGCAGTGCAGCCTACTCAGAGACTGTCAAGGCCCCATTACTAATTCTGCCTCCACCCATGGGAAGAAGAGAGCTATCAAAGTATTGATTACCTCAATGGAAGGGAACTTTGAACCTATACCCACCAGAAGAAGAGACTCCTCCTGCAC